AAAAAAAAAAAATTTTGAAATGTGCCCAAAAAAAAAACCCAGGAGGAAAAAAAAAAAAAAAAAAAAAAAAGAAAAAAGCTTAAAAAAATACTTTTCTTTATAAATTAATTAAAAATAAGTTCTAAGTAAAGAGCTCAACTGGGAAAAAAAAAAAAGTCATCCAAGCATAGGCCTCTTGACTTATTCTCTAGGCAAACACAGGAAAGGAGAGCGAATGGCCACATAGCAACTAAGAACAAAAACACCACTTGCATTGGTCTTGGTCAGATACACTGGGCTTTGCTGTACTATGTTTTTTACTCATTCAAATTTAGTAAACCCCAAATCCACTCCAAAACTGCAGTATGAACTACTGTGGAATAAACTTAAAACAACAACATCCCCTTTAAAACATAGAAGAGTAGAGGAAATCATCTTAGTGCCAGCTAGCGAAGCACTATGAGTTTCCAGAAAACCCTGACATTTCAGAGCAACCAGGCAATAATCTTAAAATATTAATGTTGTCAGATGAAGAACTTGGCATCTTCTGGACTTTAAAATCAAGTTCTCAATCCCATGTTTTCTCACAAATACCACAGAACAAGACCTGAATTAGTTAGTTGATGTGAACAGAGAATAATCATGACAAGAATGAAGTTAACAGGGTCAGTCCTGGGCAAACTAAACATTTTCCATTAATAAACCACTGATTCTTTTCGTTACATTCATGCACAAAAGGCCGGAACATGGAGAATTCCCTCTGAGTTAAGACAAAAAAACATTGAGCTCCAGAAAACACAAGCTTATAAAGCCTCTAGATGACACTTTTCACTTACGTGAATCCCTACTTAAGACCATGGCAGGAATGGAAAAGAGATGCAACAGCCTAGTAAAACTTCCTGAAGACAGCCACTGAACTTCATGTCTCTCTGAATCCAGTTAGTTCCCCAAAATTAACTTCAGGTTGCAATAGAGTTTGTAACACACCCAAGTTTGTAAAAGTGTCATCATATATGGGGTTTCAGGTACTTCTACTTATGAGGAAAGCTTAATTAAATCAAGGAAAAGGAGACAGTCAAAGAAGAAAGTGTCTGTAAGGCTGTGAAGTAAGAATTAGTAATAAGCTTGTGAAGGAATAACAAGGATAGCTAAGGACAACCGAAAAAGCAGCCTGAAATGAAACGTTAGGCAGAGGGAGATCCGATGATAGGCCACATGTTTAATGCAACAGAGAAAATGCTTATTGCACCCACCCTCATCACAGTCCCTAGACAAGGTATCTGTTCTACCTGGTTGCAGCACAGCAGCAAGCAGTGCATGAAGATAAGCACTGAACTGAGCCCTGATCCACTCATCTCCTCCTTCCCATCCAGTGCCATCAAGGAAAACATCATCTCTGTTCTCAGTTACGTGCTTTACCAAGTAATCCGCAAATCTTAGGTCAGCAGTTGTTGGGTTCAGGATCTTACGGAGTTCTGGATCGTGGATTTGTACATGAGCATCTTCTATCTGTTTGAAATAATTACAAGGGTAAACATTTATCTAAATAAAACTGCTTATATATACTACTGTATATTGCTACCTAAATCTAAACACAGAGCCCCCTAAAATATCAAGAAGCAGCAAATGGCCAAAGAAATAATGAATTAACTGTTCTCAAAGTCAGACACTGCTCTGATATAGCCAGATTCTGATCATCTTCCTGACACATACTAAAAGCTGCTTATTTGACAGGATTTGGCAGGGGATGTTTGGTGCTCACATGTATTTTCCTAGAGGCTCTTTGATTGTCACTTCAATTTCTTAAGTTGGGTACCTGCATGTATCTGTCTTAGGTTACCAAATGTTGATTATGTAGTTGCATCTATTTGCTAGAACTGACAGTGTTTTCTTAGATGCTATTTTTTTAACCTCTTGATTAAATCAGAGGGAAGTCAATAGCAATGTGCTTTATTATCCAACTTTATCTGTTTCTCAGCTGCAAGCACTTATTTTTCAAGACCTTATTACAAAGTCATGAAAAAAGCCCATGACATGAAAAGTAAAATTACACCAGCAACAAAATAAAAACTTAAGTGCCCTGCAAATTCAAATATTGTGTATAAGAATATTCAGAAAAACATGTATTAGCTTTGCACAGCTTATCTAATCCTATCCTAACAAATGATACAAATTTAATAAGCTTCTGCATTTAAGAATTTATTTCATAGGGAAGTAATTCAAAATTTGGGCATGAATGTGAAACTTTAAAGCTATATTTAAAATGCAACCTCTGCTTCCCCCCCACCCCTCTCTCTAGTTCCAGAAGTCCAAATGCAAAGATGCATACTTCCACAATTGCATCACTCAGATGTTTCTGCTGACGGAACAGGATATTGGTGGCTCCCGCAACAAAGCCACGGACTGTAACATCTGACAGGAGATGATGCTGCTGCAGCGCCATGTATGGCAAACAAAGGTACCCCTAAAGTAAGAGAAATATTTAGAGGATTAACAGAAGGCCAACAAAAAAAAAATTGCCTATATTCAGAGTTTTTCCTTAATAAAAGCCAGCACATTCCACCCAGAACGAATCTTAGTTATTACAATTTCAGCCACGATTATCTATTGTTTTGCTACATTACATCTGCAAAGCAAAGCAACCAGATTCCACATGAATTAAGTTTTTCAAGGGGCTGTGTTGCCTTTCAGTCTCAGGACTGAAACTGAAATACAATGCAAAGGACAGGAATCAAATGTGTTCATAAGCCAGCAGAATAAGCAGTATAAAACAAGAGTGAGGTCTCAGGCCAGATCAGAGACAAGCAGTCAATGGAGATAAAGATTCATCTCTCCACTTGCATACCATGTCGTCTTCTGGTAGCCCTGAGGCACATAATGCAGGAAAGCTACAGCCTGCTATCCACATTTTGTAGGTGGAGATTTCCAGTCTCCAGAGATAGCAATCAATTTTTGATAAGCATATGCATGCCCGCTTTCAGAAACAGCAGAATAGAAAGGAATACACTGTAATTTTTAGCCACTCTATGCTTGTAAGTTAATCTAGTATCCTACATTCCAATTAAAAAAAAAAAACAAACAAACCAAAACCCAAACATTTTGAAAAAAGGCTTTGAGGCAAGTCATTGAGAGATCACTGAGAAGCAGCTGTAGGTATTGCAACTTTCCTTTTAAATATAGGATCAACGTACCCCTGAAGTCTAATACTGAAGTCTAATTGCAGCTGTCCAATTGCATAAAGCACGAAGCAATTTATTCACTAGCAGAAACCCAGAAGGGCTAACGGCATGCTCGACAGAAACAAAGAGCATATGCACTTTATCACACAGTACATGGTAATTGGAACCATATGGAAGAAAGGAGCACAACTTTTCCCTTTTGTTATATTAGACACAGGGATGGCTTTCCAGATGACAAGCACTTATCAGCTGAAAACAAACAGCCTGTGTCAAAGGCACAATGGTGCTTTGAGAAGAATCACTAACCTAAAATGGAAAATTTTCAAAAAATACAGCTTAAGAAGCTGGCAAAGGAAGGTTTAATTACTGTATACTCTAGTAGCAAAGTCCTGAAAATCTTTCACTATTTAAAGTATCAAGTGTCAGTTCCCAAATTCACATTTGTCTATAACAACTTTTATTTCCATGAACGTGTTTCATTCTTTTTAAAAGAGTGCAAATGAAATTAGTATTAGATCTTACAGAACTGGTACTAAAGCACCTATTTTTCCTTATGCTCTGGTGTACTTTGAGACAGTATTATGCCATCTGGCAAAATCTCCTCCCATTCAAATTTGTCAGATATAAAACAACCCTGAGATGAAAGCTCTAAAAGAGATTTAAACCTTCCAGTAAGTGGTTAAACTACAACTTCAAATCACATTTTTCTGATAACTTAGAGATGTAAAGCCTTTTCTGCTTTAATTACATTGGATGAACTCAAATTAAAAGTGCCTTTGTGGAACAGAAGGTAAACATGTAGAAACTGTCAGCTTCCTTAAAATTGTTTACTTTTCCATTTTATGAGCTTAAGAGCAAACAGTTTGCACTCGCAGTCCCCCATATCAATTATTTTCTTCTTGCTTTCAATCTAGTATTTTCAACAGAACTAGACTAAATACAATTTACAGGCTATTATGATCATTAGACAGACCATAAGGACAAACACCAGATTGCAGACCTTTGTTGAAAAAGCATTTCTAACAGTGACGAGAGGCAATACAGGGCAATGACACTTGAGCTGCTCGCTTGGGCCCACGCAGTGTACCGTTTCCAATGAAAGTTATTGCGAGAAGCTCAAACACAACCATCAAATACAATGTTCTGCAAGGAAACGCAAATAAGCACCTCCAAAGGAAGAAACACCACTTTGAACCTCATCAGCTTGAGGAAACAAATCTGAGTCTTTTACTTTCTGGGCAAATGTTCATCTAAAAGGTTATTACATTAAAAACAAAACAAAAAGCATTATATCACTTCTTTTACTGACAAAAGTATCTTCAAAAGGGATGCATTTTCCCTGTTCTTTTTTATCGGAAACCAGCCCTAGTAAATGTATTGCTTGTTAGTTACCATCAGAGTCCTTAGAGAGACTCTGGAGTACCTGGAGCTCAGTTAGGCAAGTTAAATTTTATACATATATATTTATATTTTTATATATATTTATTTATTTATATTTTTGTGTGTGTACACACACACATACATATTTATAAATACATATATATAAAAAATTAAAAGAAGAAAACATAGGATTAGGTGTCAGCTAAGATAGAGCTTTCAGAATCTTAGTTTAGATTAAGGTATCTAAACACTTCTTAAGTACTCTGACCTTGCCTCATGTAGGTCAGATCAACAATTCTTCAGAGTAAAAGAAAACAGTAGTTACCGATACATACCATTTATTAATCACAGTGGGGCTCCAGGTTACCATCATGTAGAATTGCAAACAGTATGTAAGTATACATATGAAAGAAAAGTGGAATGCATGTGTGCGTGTGCACACCCCTCTCAGACGTGCACTCACGCTTTCCACCTGCCTAGAAACACAGTCACTTGCCAAAGACTGTACTTACATGTTTTGTAGTACCCTACTGTCCATTTGGAGTTGGGTAACCAGAATTATTAGCCACTTCTGAAAAACAGATGTCTTTATGAGTAACCAGGTATCATGAACAATGTGTTTACCTTTGTAAAGATAGCCAACGGCATACCATACTGGTCCTCTTCCAACCCAGATATCAGTCCTGGAACAAGAACCGCGTGTCCTGTATTTGCTTGGGGCTGCACAGTGATTGGAAGGCTTTCCGAGCTCATGCCCTCGCTCAGAAAATTTTCAGCCTGTTCTGATGCTGTATTTTCACATTCTCCTTCTTTCAAATTAGACTCCTCCAAAACGCTAGGATCTAAGGTCTCCCAGTCACTTTCAGAAGATACTGGAGAAGCGCGGGAAGGAACTTTCAAGCGCTGCACAGTACCATTGGAGGACTGAGCTCCACTGCAAGTCTTCTCTGACTGGGAGAAAGGCACGTTTGCTTTTTGACCTTCCAGTGAATGGTTTCCTGTCATCTTCCTGCCTCCCTTTCCCATTCCTAAGTTTGCATTTGAAGTATCAGCAGCAGACACAGAAATATATTCGTCTAACCGTGGTGTATTTTCCTGCAAGCCAGTATCCTCTGATATACTCTTTCTTGGTCTATACTGTGAGCAGTCAGTAAGACCGTGTTCAATCATACCTGGAAAGTGACAGCATGCATGAATATCAGCATCTCAATAGAAATTTAAGTGATTTTTGTTAAAGAAAATGAACAAAGTGCTCTTATGTGCATAGTGGAAATCACGTATTTTAAAACACTACTTTGGGGGGGGTGTGTGTGTTAAAAAAACAAAAACCAAAAAAACCAAAAAAACCCAAAACACCCAAATAAAACCAAACCCCACACTTTCTCTCCTAAAGAATCTGCCCCAACTTTTTTGCTTTGAGAACACTGGTTAGAAGCTAAGAATTAGCAAGGTTAGGGGTTTGTTTAGGTGGGGGTTTTTTTGTGTTCCCCCCCCCCCCCCCCCTTTTTTTGAAGGGCGCATGTAGAAGGAAGAGAGAGGTTTCTGTTTTTATTTTTTAAGGAACTTGACAGGAAGGTATGACTTATTCAAGGTCCCATCTATGTTACCCACAGGCAATACAGAAGACCCAGTGGGTCCGATTAAGCACGAGAAATAACCCATAGCGTACAAGTAGTAAGTATTAGGAGATGTGTTCACAGTACATGGACGTGCATACAAGTCACCCGTTTTTCAGGCAACATAGCAACATAACTCTATTGTCATGTAAGTTGTTTTTCAAATGAAACAGTACAGCCAGTCTCAGTTATCACCAGAAAGCATATAAAAAGAAGTCCAAACTTCTCTTCTTACCAGGGAAGAGTGACAGGACAGTCATCAGAGCTCCCACCAATCTATTTACTGGAGAAATATAAAACAGCACCTGGTGGCAGAAGCGGGGGGTGGGAGGAAGAGAGCGTGCAAGAGAGGAAAGGGGAATTAGGGAGGAGAGAATGAGAAAAACAAAATTACACTTAAGCATGACAAAGATAGACAGAACGCATGCAAACTATTCAAGGCATTGCTTTTTATGTTATTTTAGAAAGTCTGCTTACCAACAAAAGCTCTTATAACAGTTCAAAGTAAATATTTAAATATGTCTATTATGTCCTTATATTTTATAATATTTATATGTTATATATACACACGTGTGTGTAATATATACTTGTCCCTCATTCAGATTTTCCTGTCAGTCTTTCAGATTTTTTTCCCAAATTGATCCAATTACTGAATGACTGACAGAAAAAAGTTGTTCCTGGCACGCCACATAAATTCTTGTTCATTTGTAGGACACTAAAATCTCTGTTATAAATCAGAGGCCAAATAATTTCCATTCCAGGATTCTGACAAAAACCGATGCAAAAACATCTCTTCTAAGAAAATATATTAAAGATACACAGATAAATGAAAAACAGTATAAATGCAGCATGCATTTATTACAGGTATCTTCCTATGATTAAAAAAAAAAAAAAAAAGATTTTTTGGAAACAGAAGACATGACTGATACTAACTTTGGTAAAGCACTTAAGGCATAACATGGGAAAACAGAATCTCCTTAATTGAATCAGAGAGACTGGGATTAGTAAATTAGTTAGGAGTTCAAAAAGGGGGGTGTCAAAGGCTAGCAGTGAAAGAAGAAACACAAGGCAGACTGAATATTACTGCTGGAGTTCCTCTAAGACAGGCCTTCAGGGGGGAGGAAAGGAAAGAAAAGAAAAAAAAAAAACAAGAAAACAAAGAAAAAACCAAACCCAAAGTCAACTTGTTTAACAATGCAATTTTTACATCCTCAAGCAGCACAATGCTAGTAAAAAATACTAAGGTCTTACAAGGAATCAACAATGCAACGGAATATAGAATGATCTGATTTGATGACTTTGCAGGCCAGTTTAATAGGTATATGATGAAATTAAAAGTGCAAGTTTGTGGACTTACACTTAGTAAAAGACTTCTGCTGTAAGCTAGGAAGGCACTTCAGAGGTGACTGATGAATAACAACTGATGTTCCACTAGTATTTGCAAGTCTACAAGCTAGTGAATTGATGGAACCAAGAGAATGACCTAGGCAGTCCTAACGCATATCAAAAAACGTTTAATGGTACCTCAGCTAGAAGCAGACTATGTATATTATCTTGCACAATTTTTCTTTTCTCTATGTTCAAAATAGGTGAACTCAAATTGCAACAGCCACGGAAAAAGCATGATGAGAAGAACAAGCAGCTCATCTGAGGAAAGAATTTCAGCTGACTCCGATAGGAATAAAAAAAGTCTAACTTCATTTAAGATGCTGCTCTATAATGCATGTGTGAAAGATGCATGATATAGTAACAACGAACTACAACAGAAACCCTATGATATCCCTACAGGTTTAGATTCTCAGATACCATGTATTCCTAGCCAAATTAAGCCTACAGAAATAATTAAGTCTATAAAGAAGTACGTTGTTTTCAAGAAATCTATTCCAGTCTAGATTTTTATTTGGGTATACCGCTTACTTAAGCCAAGTACTTTTCTATATTTGTTCCATCAAGTCCCTCTGCCATCTTTCCATCTATATAGATGCACACTTCCCTACCCCTCCCAACCCCATTATATAGCCTACAACATTTACATCAGCAAACTGGGTGGTCCTGGCAGCAGAAAGTCAAATGATCACCATCTGGAAGTAGTCTTCCAGCCTAATAACAGCTGAGAGGTGAAAAAAAAATTTGTTTAGCCTGTGGAAAGGCATCAACCAAATTGCTAAGGATTAAAGGAAACCCATCTGTGGCATTCAGGCATTTTTCAGCTCACGGAAAATTGGCATTACTAGTGGCTTCTTGCATATTATATTTAAGGTCTTTTAACATACAGATTCCCACAGTTATTCTGGAACCTTAACATCTGTCAGAAAACAGGCAGTGCCAGAAAACCAAAACTCTTCCTTTTGAAATTGCAAGTATTGTCTTCCTGTTTAAGCTTAGGGGAAAACAAAAACAAAGCAATCTGCAGCTTTATTCAATAAGCTTCCAGTTATTTTCAAAACAATTTCATATGTTTGAGTCATATGAACATGCTTGGGAAACCCTCCCTCTCCTCTCTTCCTGTGCATTTATGTCTTGTGGTTTGAGCAGCTTCAGAAAAGAATTGTAGCTCAGTAAAGTATTCTGTTTAGATATGTCCAAATGCTGAACTGACCTGATGAAATGCTATCATAAGTTTTTAAACAGATCAGTAGAGATACTTTACAAAATCTTAACTGGAAAATATTTTTTCTGCCTAAGGTTTAAAAAACAAACAAACAAAAAAACCCAACAAACCACTGTGGACTTTCAGAACATATTAAGTTACTTTTGGGAAAAAGCTTGCATATTGAGTCTTGATTACATACATTTCTACATGTGTTACTCCTACTATGTCACAATCATATTTTCTCAAGTATACCTTTCGCATAGCCTTTAACAAAGCAGTCTTTAGCATATGGCTCTTTAGTGCAGAAACTGCATTTATTCTCATCAATACTTAGAACTGTCAAGGTATATCTGACTTACAGAATTAAGTGACAAGTGCAAAAGCTTTGGAGAAGCCGCTACTTCTGTTTTTAAAAGCCGTATTTACTGCCTCACACAAGATACCTAGGCCTTGGATATAGACTTTAAAAAAAACCACCACACAACTGTTTTGATATTGTATAGATTAAGTCCTACTAACGTTCCAGTTGCAGCTAACAGGGAATTCTAATGTTCCTTCCAGCACTCTGAAGAAGCTGGGTTTTAACATAGCAAGTTCACTGAGGAAAAAAGTGATGTTTGGGAAACTGAAACAAAACTTTAAACAAGAATTTTAAAAAAGCAAACCAAAAAAAGAATCCCTGCATAAATGTGTCTGGGAGCTGATACATAGTCATTTCACTGAAAGTTCCTGTTCCAGGGTATTAAATATACACAGAAGAAAACAAATGTATCTACTCTTTCACATCTGCTTGTACATTTTGCGTGTTCCACTGAAATTGCTAAGATAGCATTGCTTCTGAGGCAGTAAGATAGCTCAAAGAAAACACAGCCTAGAATTCAACAGTTTTTACCAATTTATAATCCGAGTTCAGCCTGACCTAACAGATACGGCTCTTCACACTGTCTCCTGCAGGTGTCCATGCAATTCAGGTCTGAAGGACACTTTAGCACTAGTTTCCTTTGGTACGCCTATTTAAAGCCCAAACTAGAAGTTGTACTTACCGAACTGTAAAGCTGTACGTGCCCTTTTCAGTACCAGCATTTCGTATCGGTTCCTTCACACAGGTACCTATCTGCATTATGTGTATCCTTTCCTATCTTTTATAATATATTAAGTTTCTCCACTCACATTTAATCACATTTTACTTACTCTGGCTGGGAGAGCTATTAATAAGGTGGAGTGTGGTCGTAACAGAAGTGGAGGCAAATTTATACATCAACACACAGCAGTTACTTTTAGCATAATTTCCCAATTTATATATGGATGCAAAGTATACTTTTATTTTACTGTATTTGTTTTTCACTAGTATATGCTACATAACTTCATACGAAAAAAAATTTAACAATTGCATTTCTATTTCGATTACCTTCCTCAGCCTACAAAACGTTACCTTTTTCTCTAGAAGAATCAATTTAAAAAGAATCAAGACCTGAAAAAACACAAAAAGGAAAAATATGGTGAGTGAACCAGTGCCATTTATCACAAATCCTGTGCAAGCACAATCTCTTATTCAAGATTTCATGTTAACCACTGCATAACTGTCAAATGATCAAATACATTTGACCAGTGAAAATCAGTGTTCTGATACCCTTTCTCCACCTGAGCACTCATTTAAAAAAAAAAATAAAATAGCATGAGATGCATAAAGAAAAACCTGCACAAACAAGAATTGTGTAATTTGAATCATACAAAGCTTATTAGAAAGAACATGTTGTGCAATTCCAGAATTTTAAAAAACAGTAAACTGCATAAACATAAAAGAGTTCCTTCACAGAAATACAGAAAAGAATTCAGCAAAATACCAACAGCATTCACCTCGCCTAATTTTAGGCATCTACAGATGAGGCATCTAGATCAGAAGTGGCTGTCCAGACTCCCTACACTCAAAGAAAAACACAGGTGCTTCTGGGGCATGACTGGCAGACATCTGAAGTTAAACAAAAAAAATCTACTGAGCAGGCGCAAATATACCATGAAACCCAGATTCTCGAATTTGTTTCCTTTATGCCTCTCAGTTAATAAAAGATTCTAAATGCAATTGGTACCTTAGCTATAGGATAAACACTCAATTTCAATAGTCATTAGGAAAAAGAAGGAGAGGTGCAAGTCCCCTCAGTTTCTATGATGGCAGAAGCTGCAAAAATTACAAGATACAGGGAAAAATGCTCCAAGTTGTGTCTGCACGGACATTAGCAATATTATTTTATCGCATTCATCTGACGAGAAGCAGGAAACAGAAACAAGACCGTAACTGAGATACCATTTGCACTTTGGGACAGGACTAAAGAAGTGTGACACAAACATAGAAATCTCCAGGGAAACCAGCAGATAGACAAAACTTGTCAGTCTGGAACTTACTTTCACTGAAGTTACATAAGCAGGAGGGGAAGGGAAATCAGGACACTGTAACCAGAAGTACTTAGGAAACAGTCTTCTTACTCCTAGCTCAGGTATGTCTAGACATGTTTATTTTTCAGTTCCTCACAAAGAATTTTATTCCACAAAGTAAGTGCTGTACTTTAGATACCTAGCAGAGAACACCGACCTTGTGTCTAAAGTGAAGAACAAGATCCCGAGGAGACAGACCTGAGATACCAAAAAGAGAGCAATTATTACAGTTTACTAGCTAGCAGAGATACTAACTTAATTCTTGTCACCATTTTTCAGGGGGAGGGGGACACCCATTTATGCATTCTATGTGAACCTCGTTATTTCAATAGCAGAACTCATATAGAATTCTTTCTTTTGAGCAGGAGCAAGAGTTAAATTTACAATGGAGATGATAATAATGTGAACAGTCACACTCTTGAGTTACTCCTGTTGGCTGCCACACAGCATTATGGAAACACTGAAGTAAATACTACACTGTGCATTCAGGAAACACAGGGAAGAGTCAGAATCAAATGAGAGAGATCCCAAATAACAGGTAGATGAAAGTTTGAGCACCCCACACCATCAAATAGTTCCATCTAAAAATTAAGAAAGTACTGTTTCCCAAAAGCAGCCAAGCAGTTACTTGTCAGACTGTTAGGTCAAGAGGTAACATGGCTTTCAACATACAACTAACTCCTATTATGAAAGCAACACTACATTTATTTGACATTTATTTAAATCCATTAATAAAGAAATGCGTAACAGAATACTGTGCAGGCACACAGACCTCTGATGCTTAATCTGTTAATGCACATAAACAAATTAGCTCAGGAAGGGAATGTGTTCATTAGTGTAACATTATCTCTGCTGCTTGTACAAAAAAAGTCACTTACCAAGATAAACTTGTGACCCTTCTAGCAAAGTACTGCCCAAGGAACTATTCATATGATCATAAAGTTCCTGTAAAAGTTAGAACAAAGGCAAAAAAACCCCAGAAAACATTAATGGCACATGGTCACACAAACCCCAGAATAAATAAAATTCACTTATTCAAGGATTCCAATGTCTTATTCCAGAAAGAAAGTACAGTTTTACTAAGGGAGTCAATGGAGATACAGGCTGAAAATCACATTAATTCTTGTATTTCATTACAAATCAGAAAGTTGACCCTCTGTCAGATTAGGGTAGTTCATTTAGCTCATGTTAAGTTATTACAAGAGCTGAATAACTGAATGACCTGTGCAAATGGAATATTTGAGCGCTAATTAAAAACACTAAAGTCCATAGCCATACACTGAAAGCTTTGTTCTGTGTGGTTATTACTTAAAAGTTACCTTTAGAATTGAAATTTGTGAGAAGTCTTTTTCTTCAAAATACGCATGTGTAATGAGTTGCAGCTTTGCCTGAAGTAACCCATACAAAGGCTTGGAAGAAAAACAAACACAAAAGCAAGTGAAGAAAACTTATTTAGTCACTCATTTTGAACTTTAATCTTCTCCCATTTGTATCTTGCAACATACACACATTATTACACAGAGTTCATGGAGGGGCAGTCCTTAGTTGCTAACTCACAGCATCTTTCTCCTGTGCTCATTTTAAGTTATGATAATTCTATTTTCTTTCTATGGCACATACCATGCCATCACTGAACATCTTTCTGGAAAAGTACTTTCCTGCTTTAACACTGCTCATGCAGCTCCAGTAATAGTTCTTTCTTCAGCTTTAAGCACAGAAAGAATTTCTGTTCCCTGCCTGGTGACCAGTAGCTTTTGCTAAATAAGTAGAAATACAAGATGTTCCTTCCAAACACGAGTATGCTGTATGTGTGACTATCTTAAAACCTCTTTCACAGTTGTCAAGAGCCGCTGTCTCCAGTTATTATAATGGCCAAACCCCTCAATCCTACTACATGAAATAAAGTTAGTAGCATTTAAGAATAATCACAAGTGCAAATAGATATCCTGGTCCCTGACAACAGGCAGACACTTTTACAATTACTCTTACAAGGAGATACTAATTCAAGGCAGCTCACTCAAATGCCATAGCCTTCCGACTCAATTGTACTTCAGTATTTTGTTACCCTCTGCAATGATTTAAAGAGAGGTGTTTGGAGCCAAAAGTTCCAAATAAGAATACGGAAAACAAATAATTTTTAATACGTTATTTGAAAGTGTTTTGGGAGTTAAAGCAACATTCTTACCAGCTGACTGAGAACACACACACTTTTCTGTACTGTTTCTCGGGTGACGTCCGCTTGCCGTACTTTTAATGCCTAAGAAATAGAAGTATTACAGTATTTTTACCCACACGCAATTTCAAAGAAAATTCTTTCACAGGTCTAGTTGCCACAAACCACCCCCCTATTTAAACAAAAACCTAAAACTGACTGCCTTCAATGGTGGAATATCCAAACCATGCAACAGTATGCCCTTACCTAGTAAAAATGGTCATAACACTGATATGTCAGAGTTGTGTTTCCATCTCACTGTGCACAGCAAAGATCCAAATACAGCTATGATGATAGGCAGAGGACTGTTTAAAAGACACTAGCATGAGAAAAAGGCAATAGCCTTGGAAAAGGCAATTGCATTTTAACTCAGGGTAATGTAACAGAAAAGAAGCCACAACACATCACTCGTTCTTCTCTAACATTATCTGTGAAAATGGACACAGTTGAAGAGTCTTTGCCTAGAAATTGCTTGCTTTATACTCAAAGATTTTCTCTGAGCCAGCCATAAAATGAAGGAGATATCATCTGCAGAATCAACTACATTCTCAGGCAGACGAAATGGTCCCAGCACTTAACAGCAGAGCTAGAAAGGGTGGGGGCAGAAATACAGCCAAGTGATGCACTTAATTGTACAAAACAGCAAGTGTGTGGACTGCAGCCCACACAAAGAGGACAGATGGAAAGAGTGCTAGAGCTGTCATATGAAACACACTGGTTTATATTCTACTTGTTCCAAAGAGTTCATTTTAAACATCTATTTATCTTCTTAATTGGTTACTAAACAGCATAAACCGGAAGCAAGAGTACAATAAAGCCAAGTTATTGCATAGTTAAATAGAGCAAGACTAAGTCACAGAATACAGTGAAGACTGGCTGCAAAGATAATGAATGAACTAAAATCAACATGGACTTAGTTCAAAAGAAATGGTATTAAAATCTGCATTTGTAAAATTTCTCCTATAGCATAAACAGCAACTTGAAATATAATCAAGGTATGATTAAAACCGGCTACATAACTTACATCTTCTGAATACAAGACTCATTTAAAACTCAAACTCACATGGCATTCCAGATTCTGGGCATTTCACTGGAAAAGGGAGTAATTTTTAAAGAAAGTTGTAATGACTTCTCAACTGTAAGTGCACAAGATCATACTACCGTACTACTTTTGAAAATATGGGCAGATTCTAGTAGATCAAGTACATCAGTTCCTCAGCGTGATCAGTTGCACACTGTAGCTCTCACCAATTTTTCAGCTTTACTGCTACAAGCTCAGTATTGGTAAGCAGCCACAATGAATTGGAAGATTCTGGTCTACTCTGCCAGTGTACTTTTGGAAAAGAAGGTAGGTTAAAAGAAAACATCTCTACACTTGCATGGTCAGATCCCAGGAAATACTCTCAAATTCTTCATGCTCACATACTGGAGAAATTTCAACTTTTTCCACCCAAGAGGCCTACTTCCTGGAAACATGACTTGGCTGCCTGACAGACTGTCAGCTTCATTTTGCTACTTGGTGCTGATGCCTGGATTAGCTCTCAAGAACCAAAACATATTTTTCAATTGCCTTGAACATTTCAAAAGATCACAATATGCCTGCTGACATAAGGGAAAGAAATAGTCCTCAAGCTCTGTAGCTACCTACTGTGCACATTTTCATGGATTTTTAATGTAAGCTGATCACGCAGTTTGACTGTTGGTATAATGCAAGCCGCTGAATTTTAGGGTCGTTAATGCATCAAGCCTATTATTTCATTAATATAATTCACAGCTTGGAAAGTTACCTTTGCTTCAATCTGCCTGTAGCAAGAGACGCCATATACTGTGGTTCGATCCCCACATCTTGGTGGCAAATGGAAAAACACGGTATCTATGAAAAAGAAAAGATTGTTTCATAAGTCACTAAACAAAAATTCAGTAGTTTTTATTTTCAGCATCACTTATTTATAAAAGGTTTACTGCTGAAAATACTGGCACACTTATTTTCTGAGACTTTAAAAAAAAATAGAAACAAATAGTCATCTATAAAGCTATGCCTGCACCCAAACTGTTTCCAAATTGCAAAATGCTTTGTGGAAGAACCTCCAGCTGTGCCAATATGGATATTCTGACAACAGCCTCATGTTTAGCCTGATCAAGCTCCTATAAGCCCACTGAGAGGTTCTCAGAAACCGCTATTGACAGCAGAGAAGTACCACTGAAACCTACAGGCACGCTGCTTTCCCAATTCAGCACAGAGGAGCAAAGATAAAGCACTATGAAGCAAGGTGTACAGTTGGAGTGTGATACCATTAAGGGGGTAAATGCAATGAAGATGGGGGGGACGACCAAAAAAAAAAAACCCAAACCAACCACCAAGGAGGACATATACAGTTGAAAGATTAGAGTAGCTACTACCACTGCCAAGGTAGATATCCATGCAGCAGCAGCACTCTGCTAACAAAAAGGATTTGTGAATCCTAATCTCACACAAAATAATTACTGTCTCTGTGCAAGTGTGACATGAAAGAAAAAAAATCTCTATAAAATATGACAGGAGAAAGGCTTTTATGGCTTGAGAGATATACACGCATACATACATACACACACTTGCTAACACTGCAAAAAAGTTGCTAAATCCTATGTAAAGGAGAGGACATTATGACTGCCTTTCAAAACATGAGTGAATTCTGTTTTGAAACCAACTATTAATTTTGTTGTTTGCTTTCTAGTAACAAAATGAACAGAAGAGACAATCCCATATGCATTAAGTCCAACAGAAAGAGGGACTGTTTATAACAAAGCTTATTCCCTTGAACAAGCTTAATTATATTATGGAGATCACTTAGGGTTTTAGAAAGCCTTTAAGACTGTTTTCTGTACCAAGTCATCCTCTTTGCAGAAATGCAACTGTCAGTGGGAATTAGTTTAAAACTCAAAAATAGATAGATACCTAGTAAAGTTACAGTAAACATAACTATTATCTGAAACATATTTGTGTGTTTCAAGTTCATGTGTATTCTTGTCTACAAAACACAAGGATATACATCAGTTTTGCTGCCAAGTCTCTTACCAAAAAATACACATTGATAATCTTTTACTGCAGCAACGAAAATACTCAAAGTTGAGCATTAACTGGGATGGTACTGAGCCAAGAAGGAACAGGTAAGTGCAGCTGCATATGATTTTCCCAGCTTTGAATGCAGCCTACCATTATAATGCAGAAATTGAAGAAAACTCATTACCGAGAGCAGAGTCAGAGAGACTCTTACTGCTGCTAGGAAGGGATTTATTTTGATATGACTTTCTTTGCTTCCAAATGAGGTCTCTGGAAGCTGGGGAATTAGGAAACGAAGTACATCAAGTAAGAAAAAAAACAACAAAAAACCCAACAAAACAAACAAAAAAAACCCACAAAACCAAAACCCAACAACTTATTAAAAGTAGTATTAAAGGGTCTCTGTCATTTTGCTGGTTTAATTGACTTCCTTGTTCACTGCTGTGCAGAAAAAAGATGACATAACTGAACACGCATATAAGTGTCACGGCAATGAACTGAACTGCTGTCAAATAAACAAAGAAATAAATGCAGTACCAAACAAGAAAAACCCACCCTGCAGTGAACTTGCTGGTAACTACGTGGCGAAGGAATCCATCTATCTTCATTCCGCTGACAAAAGCTCCTGTTCCTGCCCTTTACATTTGCTGGTTTTCAAAACATGTCATTCTACAGACACCGAATGACTTGTAGGTCATTCTAAGAATCTCTAAATTGGGGGGGGGGGGGATCATAATGACTACATACATTACAAAGCTGAATTTTAGAATTTTGTTTTTCCCTCACCTCAAAACTGGATTAGGTTTTACTCAAGAGTTTATTCCCCCTTCAAAGAACTTCTGAGAAAGCAGGTAGCCTTGTTTTGCGCTAGGTTACGTATCACACGATATCACTAGGTTAGGTTATGTGCTAGGTTACATATCACATCCCTTAAGCTTTTATTGACATCTGATTTCTTGATGTAGGAGGTACACCTTTATGATCTATTTTCACTTTAAACTCTGAAGCAACATATCATTGCCAATCTATTTTGCAGCTTAAACAAAAAGTACAGGAAGTCTAACAGTGAAAAGAATTGTTGACCAATTGGTCAGATATCAGGATTTTTCTTCCGGTTGCAGGAGAAGTAGTAAATACAACTTCCTCTCTCGTTTCTTACCTTCCTGATAGTTGTGAGCGCCATCTGGTAAGGCAAGAAATGGCAAGTATTTCCATTCTTCTGGTAAACTGTGGCTGTCATGTCCTTCTCCAGGCTTTAGGGGAGGATAGGAAAATTCAACCTAAACAAACAAAAACAGAGGGGAGGCAAAGAGAGAATACATAACTGTTACCAAACAAGCAAGCCTCTGTGAGTCAGCCTAGCACCTTTTCTTCAGCAATGGTATGAAACAAAGCTTTTCTTCCTACTAGCATTCCTCGTCTCTTCCTCCAAAGCACCCATGGACTGACTCATGGTGGTCATGACTCATGGTCTAAGTGATAGGCCCTGGGCAGATTTGGCTTCTACAGTGCTTCCATCCAGCCTAGTACCTGCTCCTCAAGAGAAATATGAAATAGCTGTTCAAGCAGAAAACATCACCCAGCAGCTGAATACCTTCTCCCCTGTACGCACATAGCCAGTAGCACATTGCTGCACCTCCAGTGTCAGCAGGGGTCATTGCTGGGGCGCATACATCCTGAAATCAGATTTGGCTTCTCAGCTCCTCAAGTGCTCATGACTAGGTAACCATCTTAACACATGCAAGCCTCTATTTTACCCTACAGGATGTTGAATAATCTCAGAAACTATACGAAGAGCAAAACACTGCTTTTAAATATTTTTATGCCCTTGACTGCAATGAGGGGCCACACATTGGCCTAAAAGAACCTCCTTTTCCTTTCCCCAAGAAATCCTGCCTTCCAATTTCACCTTTCATTTATTTTCCATTTACCTCTTTTTCCCCAGTATTCGGGACAACCTTTCTCTTCCTCACACTACACTACATGTCTACCACAGATCCCCATGATCAGCATCTTTACAGTACTATCCTTTCATCTTTTCCTATGGAGACCCCTCTGGGTTTCCGGCCATTTTCACCAACTCTTTTTTCCAGACCTGCATTTCTAAAATTACTGAACAAAATCTAAACACAAATTTATCAGTAAAAAACTATTTAAAGATACTGCAACTTCTCTTGAGGGACATTTAGCAATAAACTAGTGAGCTGTAAAATGTATACATGAAAATAAAAAAGCATAACAAAGCAAGCACACAGAAAATCTTAACATTTGATGGATGATAAAATAAAAGCAGTGTAAAGGATGAGAGTACTGAAGAAGAAATGGGAAATAAATCAAGAAAAGTTAAATTCTTCACCTTAACACACGGTGTCACTCTTTCTACAACTGCTGCTAACTTGGAAAAAAGCACAAAGGGCAAGAAAACGCCACAAGAAATCAGCCTTACTTGCTCTATCAATTTCAACTTTTTTTATTCATCGTATTATAAAAGAGATCTTGATAATATTAAAAAAAAAAAAAAAAAACAACCCAAAAACATTCTGGTGAAATACTGAAGTCCTGAGCTAAAGGTAAGTAACCCACAAAGAATAATTATGCAAGGAGGTGGAAAAAACCACATACAATAGAAAAAGGATTAATTTTGGCAGTGGAAGGAAGAGGGAATGCAGACCCTGACTTGTAGTTAGTTATCAAGAATCCATAGAGCCTTTTAAACAAAATATGCCAGTAAGCAAAACAGAAGAGCATCTGACTTCTGAAGGAGAGACAAACACTGGAATTAGCATCCAGACAAGGAGCAGAGAAACTGCCTGCCATTTAGTACACATATAAATACTGAGAACTCCCTGCTATCCTTTTCAAATCACAGATTGTAAAGAAAAATAAAATGTTAGAAGCTTCATGTAAACATCTGCAATACAGAAGAGGATTATATCATACAATGTGATGCTGTCCAGATTCAAACTGGCTGGCTGAAAACACTATTTTACAGAATTATTACTGGATTCTTGCGGGAAGAGTAACCTTAGCAATAAATAAAGCACGGTTCCTAAGTTTTAAAACATAGATAGTGAAGGAGCATCTACACTAACATCCTGAATCAGGTATTTTATTTCACTGCATGGCCAACAAAGAGGGGTTCAGATGCATCCTCTGTAGGAGCTTCCTTCCATCGAATACAGAGGAAACCCCGGGTCCCTTAGATTTCAGTGAATACCTTCAAAGCATCATTCCTGACAAGGAAATACTCTAAGTAAGGATCTAAGACATCATTGCTTCCAAGCACTTGCAGAATTACAATTGTATTTTGTGTTCCAACCAAAATAATGAATTAGAAGACATATTTAAAGGAAAGAAGGGCAGGACAATTTAAGCTATATGAAAAACATGTATTCACTAAGGAATACTCCTTTTTAAAGTCCAGAATAAAGCTGAGAGATCTGGCTCCTGTGTTCTTTTGACAGCATGAAATTTGCTGAAGAACTACTTTGTTCTAGCTCACAATATGCTATCAACACCTCAGCTGCTATCAGATACTCCCAGCAATAGGGATTTCTGCAGGCTCCAATTGTTCCACATCCAAAAAACTGAACAGGCATTAGTGACACTGATGATAATCTTGTTTTACATTAGTCTGCTTCTTTCAAAAATATGTGTTCTAATATAGAGATTTCTGCACGCATGTGCACGTATAAGTGAAAGAAGATCACGAAACTCAGATAAAGCAGAATTAAGATTGCTTAAGTGGCCCTATATAATCTATTTTACAGATGTACTTTATGATAGACCTGATATACATTATGACATACTATTCCTCCCCAAGAGGATCCATGTAGGAAGTACCCTGGTTTCTAAGGAGGAATCACATTTGTGTAGTTTAATAGATCACTGCTTTTAGAAGTACCACCTCATATTGCGAAGGCCGAAAGGGTGGAAGTAACAAAGAAGGAGGAAAAAGAAAAAGGACAATCCAACAGCAAGGACAGCATGCAATGCCCTGGAGAACTTCCTTCCACCCCTCCTCTGACTTAAGAGTTCCCAGTGATTTCATTTCAAAGAGATAAGTCAAACTTTTTCCCAAGTAGTCACTGCAGGTGGGATTCATGTCAGCTGACTACGTGTCAAAAAGCAAGATCTCCAAGCCAGTTTTCCTAAGCATTCTGCATAGTCAGAGAAAACAGACACCTGCAGAGGATGATTCAACCTATCTGCTTCTTTCCATTGCCTCTGAAGAGAGCTAGCTCAGACTTCTAAGTCTAACTTGCAGATGACTGAATCAATGCAGGTGAAACTCACCCTAACTGTTCCTCATCTTCTAGACATTCTGCTTGATTTCTACAGCTCAATTTGCAGACTTGCATCAATTGCAGGTAGGAATCCTTTGCATAGAAAAAAACATTATTTCAAAACCGAAGCATTATAAGAACATTGAGTAGCCTTAAAAAAAAGAAAAGCTAAAACCCCATAGTTATTGAAAATCTTGAAACTGAGCACTGCACATGTAGAAAAGTGATAATAACGGGGTAGAGAGACTCTCAGTTCTATCACTTCTGAGTTTTTGAACAACTGGAGCCTCAGTAAAATTCTTCTCTCAGCCTGTGTGTGCAAACTGTACAGTACAGTGTTTCTAGTTAAGGGAACTTAAAAAAAAGGATTGTTTTTTCTCATCTTACACTTTAAACCCAAGACCATCCATGATAGGGGGATGACACTACAGAATAGACCTGTCTCACAGCTCTTCTTCTCCTTCTTCACAGAATGAAGGGCTCATTTTTTATTTAAATACAATGGATTTTTATGTAAATCCATATATATATGCATGTGCATACATAAACATGTACTTCAGTTTCCCTGTTCGTCATCAAAACATATATGCATTACAAAAAATGCCTGCAAATATGAGAAATAAAGTCTTTTAATAAAGCTTAGTAGTCAATAGGAACAAAGAAATACATGCAAGTTTTCAGAGCTGACTGCCAGAGCAGATTTTATAGATTTGCGTCTCCTCAAGTGAATTATAAAAAGAGTCCTCAACAAAATGAAATTCAAATTCAAAGCTGAACTCCTCGGAGATTTCAGAATAAACTACATAAAACATGAACTAGAATCTCCACTCATTTCTTGCTCTTCCAAGTGTCAGGGATCTTCATTACAGCTGGAAATATTGATTATGCCTGTCAAGGGTTTTTGATGGCAATGCTTTCTGCCTGTTCAAATTGTCTTGTTCTGTAAGCAGATAGCTCTTGATGGATTTCAGAACTGAAATCAATACAGAATATTGTGTTGTGATTTAATGGAGAAATAAATGTGTTCTCCACTACACAAAGTATTTCAACTCTTATGGGTTACCAAGTTAAAATAAAATTTAATTTAAAAAAACTCCCTAAACTGAAGTACAACTCGCTTTCTGGAACTGACATTTTTATTTTTCTGTAATTCTGCTGCGTTAACTAACCTTTTATATGCAGTTTGTATTGAATCTAACAGTTTGGATGCAAAGCACCTGCTGATACACAGTCCTATCTTGTTTGTGGAATGAAAAAAAGTCCAGGCAATCTGTTCTGGTTCCCTGTCTTTAAAGGGATTTCCTAGCCAGAATAAATTTACTAGACATTCATTAACTCACAGTAAAAAAAAAAGATGAATGCAGGCAAGGAAAAAAGTATTTCAGTTCCTACATTCAGGAACTAACATGACAGTTTTTCTTTTAAAAAAATGCATTGATATTCTCTTCTACTAAATTACAAGTACACAGTCAGAAGAGAGGTTAAAAAAGAACATCGATAAAAGAGGAATTTCCAAAATATATGTGCATATCCACCTGAACTATCACACTCAAACATTAGACAGGTAGTTGGCATTAATTTTTGGTGAACTTTATGCTCCAGTAAGGTTGTTTTCCTTATCTGTGAAAAGTGTCAAGTGTTAGCAATCACACTAAGAGTAAGATCCTCAGTGAACACTAAACAGTGATAATTTAAAATGTGCTGGCAAGCCAGTATAAACTCCCCATCCTCCCCACTCCATCTACTATCACATGACTGAACTACTCCACTTACAAGTTAACCCCTCTTACTCAGCACAGTCACTATATAAGCTCTCCTTTTAATACAGGTATTTTGGAAGATTTCTCTTCAGACTAGAAATGAAAAAAATCCAGACCCAAATAAGTTTTTCCATTCGTTCAATGGAGAGAGGATTTAATCTCCAATCTCTAAGAAAATCTGAAATATTTAGAATGACAGTACTACGTTAAAGACAAAGATGCTTTCAGTAAGTTGCAGAATCTAATTTACAGGGAGCGAACCCATTCCATTCTCTGAACAATTGCTTTGATGATCTCTCCCATTGCTTGTACTGCACAATTAGGTAGAATAATTGCTTCAAATGAAGAAAAGGAGATCAGCAAAACCCGCTCATTACATTACTATTTAGAAAAACTTTTCCTTTCACAAATCATTTCAACACATTTCATTTTGAGGATACCAACTCTTCCTCTCTCACTTAAGAAAGAAAAGCAGAAGGATGTTTAATATAATGCTAAACAGCAGTGACCAAAAAACCCCAACAGATTAAAATTACACCTAAAACTTGATCCCTCATTCCAAATAAGTCACTATTTGTTCTTCACTCGAAGTAGGGATTTTTAAAAGAAGCTTTCTTGATATACTAGTCCTAGCATAGCCAAATCCAGAGAAAACCAGCACACCAATGATTTTATCTGAATCACCATAACAACTGCAGCATGCAGCCAAATGAAAATCTAAGAACATTGTTACCCCTTCAGCACTGAGAACAATTTATTATTTAAATCACAATTTAATCAGATTTAAATGACAAACCTTCCCCATTGTTGTATGACAGAACCAACAGATCAGGGAACACAAAGTTGAGACTTAGAAGTTCCAATTTGCTGCAATTGGAGTGACCTCTGTTCAGGGATTTTACACCTTTGAACCTCCCTCTGTTGTATGTGTATGTAAATTACGTTGCCACCTTTATACAAGTGCTGATAGCCTGAGCTATTATTTGAAAGCATTCTGAAACAGGTAGATGAACAGTGCCACAGAGGTACAGAAATACAGATTTTACTGATTTCACATTCATTTGTTTATTCAAGAGAAAGGTCAAGATTTCTGGTCCAGAATGTTTAAATAACTACTTGGATGTTATGACACATACAAAGAACAGACAGATCATAAGATCAAAGTTAATGATGATGACTATGGGAAGTGTTACAAAACTGCAAATAGGTTTTTAGGAACCATCTCTCAATTCACACATCAGGATAACTGTGGAGAAAACATTCACTATGGAATCCTTCAGAAAAATACTTTACTTCTTGTCCTGGACTTCAAAGAAGCAACTGCAAGATTATCAAAGCATAGCACTCTTTAAAGCTTGAAAAAATAAACACAGAAACAAAACAAACAAAAATCCACCATACCTGGGAGTTTTTCTTGAACAATGAACACAAAATACTAAATAAGTGGATTACATAGAGTGGAACCCATCATTAATTCTACACAAGAGATCGTGGTACTGTTTACAGAAGTGTGAGACAGCAATTACATGTGTACTCAGCAATGCATTGTGTATTTAAAACGGTTAGCATCCCATGCTAATTTGAGTAGCCTTTCTAATAAAAGCTAAAAGCTTCTTTCAAAGTTTCAACCTGTTGAACATATGCAAATCCACATATTTTAGACAACAGGCTAATCTTTGATACTCGATGTATGCTATGATTAACTTCATCAAGAGATTTCATGCTCATAAGGGTCCTTTAAAGTGCTTAAATAATATTATTACAAGCAGGAAACAAAACCAAAGGAATTGTGCCAATGTTTACAGGTTATCATCAACAGAGCCAAGAACAAAGCCCTTCAGCTTGATTCCAGCCTAGATCCTTTTCAAGTTATTTTTTGTTTCTGTTGTTCCTCTAACAAGATCTTGTTTAGTCAGTAGAGAAGATTACCAATTGCATAATATCTGCCTACTGTGCTCCCCCAAAACAAAGACACAAGGACTTTAAAGACAAAGCAGCATACACTTCACTTACACAGTTAAGAGCATCAAGCACATCTAACAAGCACAGCAACTCCTGGGCTGGCAAAGATCGATATGGGAAAAAAGTAATTCTCCAGTAAAGCAGGGTCTTAGAAGAAAGCAAACAAATGGGGACTGAGACAGGCTTGAAGCGTTCACCTTAACAAAAGAAAAGATGCCTAGGAGAGGGCCTGGCGTCCTGCGGGCTGCTGCGCAGGGGCGCTGGGAGGAGCACGTTGTAGGGCCACCAAGGTCCTTGTGGCCTGGAGGTGGGGTTTTGGGTCTGAGGACAGGAAGGCCCCTGGGGGATTGCTGTCCCTGGCTAGTTATCAACTCTGCTAGGACAGGCTAGAAGCGTTCCCCTTAAGATGCCTCCAGAAATGCTGCCTGTGGAACATACTGAAGAGAGCGACTTCAGTATTTCCCTCTTTGAAACAAGTGCTGCAGTCAAAGGCGCAGGAGACCTGGAAATGTAGGCAGTTCTCAAAAGAGTTGACAAAACGAGCAGAGTGAACTTGCTTGTTCCCGAGACATCTCCTACTTCTGCAAACAAAGTCAAGCCTAACTTGCCAACAATTCTGCTTGGAGACATTCCCCTTGAGCCCTCACACGCTCCCTAGGCATAAGTAAAAAAGGCCACGTGCACGGATTGCTCAGGCCATGGTATGTGCCGATTTCTGCAGATTGCAACAAGTATGACCTTACGGAGTTCAAGTACTTGAAGCTCCCAAATGACAGGAGGAGCACATACACAATTCAGGAAGGGCATCCTTCCCGCTCAAAGATCATATTCAGGCTCTTTTCTAAGACTTAGGTATCAGCCCTTTCCTTCCTGGTCTTAAGTTTCCTTTGCATGCCAGGAAGAAAATCTACGGTCAGGCAAGACAGGGGGATTGGTCCTCAAACAGTCCTCACAAAAACACACCAGCACAGACAGGCAACTCCGACACTCCTTTGGAGAAAGCAAACGTCACATTTACATTAAAAAGTTAAAGTACTTTGAAGATCCTTAGGACAACCTGTGGGATCCCACAGGAATATGCCTTTCGGTATTTACAGTAATCCACTCCCACGTCTGCGACACCAAGTTTGAAATGTCATTCTCCACTGGTGTACAGAGGAGTGGGTCAAGATCAGCTGCCGTTATTTTACAGAGCAAGGATCCCAAGCAAACAAAAGTGACTGGCAATGTGAGCAGTCCAGGACACACACAGCACCTTCCCCACTACTCACACTTCTTTCTTTTCCACAACACAGTTGGAAATGTATATGTTTAAGTCAGGAGCAATTTGGAAGGTAGTCAAGCCCTTGAGAGGATACGTGAGACAATGGTCACCCACTGCACAAGGTCAGAGGCGATCTGAAGAACTGCTCAGCACCCTGAGTGCAGGAAAGCTGGGCCTTGCCCCAAGCGAAGTGAGATTCTGTATGGCCTGACTGGTGGTGACACAGGGCCTGAGCTTACTCAGAGGCAATAGCCTCCAAGCCTCCTAGCATCAAGAGGAGATGGGGCTTCTTGTGCCAGGCCAGGCAGTGGAGTAGTAAAGGGCCCATCTGCTTCCTGAGCACGTTTTTAACAATTGCGGAGGAAACTGCATCCTCAGACTAAACAACGTACGAACAGTAAGCCTTCACTTTGTCTTATATATAATCCTGCTTCACGCAGCAAAAAGACCCACGGTCCAACAGCGGGCCCCCGGAAGGAGCACGTGGAACAATCATCGCGCTCGTGCTATCCCTCAAAAGGCACACAGAAACATCCCGGTTCCTTGACTCGTCTTCTCTTTGGTAAACAAATGCCTATGGATTGTTTTTCAAGTCCGCGCAAGAAAAAGATGTTCCTATACATTTCCAAACTGCACAGAAAAGTCTTCACTTTATAGGTTAAACGTTTCTTATGTTGTAAGTTAATCAACAGGAAGAGCTGTACACTTCAGACATCAGGATCTAACCAGAACAACATTTGTCTAAGAATGCGTAAGAATCCAATTACGTCTGTTACCAACAGCAGTCCCGGAGAATCCAGAATGTCAGAGCTCAGTTTCAAGTTACACACCTCTGTACACATCAGCTTTACACCACACATGTATTTCTATCCCCTTCCTTCCATAATACAGCTTCAGAGGGAAAGCCAGCTAATGAAAACACCTAGCATCAAGAAATCCATCAAAGTATATGACTCCACATGCGTTTCCTAGTAAGACCCCAGAGAAAACAGAGATGGAAACACAGAACCCAAAAGGAGCCTTGTCAGGCAAGCCTGTTACGACAGGCAGGCTAGCTGGATGATATCTCGATCTTAAGCTCCCCAAGTTCACTCTGACTTACTGCCATTTGAAAGCTGGTTTGGAACTTTGCTTTTCTGCAATTAGCAGTTTCTTGTATGCAATCTGCAGCGCGTCTGCAGACGGTTCATATCCACTTATTTCTGGGCCAGCACTGTCTTTTAGATTAAACAGTTCGTTTTTCCTCCTTATTTTTCAGTTTCTGACAGTCTCCTGGAATACAATTGCATTTAATGCAGTGGTTCAATGAGTACTTCAAAGGCCATTATTAAACATGAAAACCAAGAAGAGAAAGTCCCAGGCTGTCACTTTCAAGAGACACTCTTTTCCACCCCCATACTAGTCTTCTTGTGCCCATGTACCTGTCTTCTGCAGATGTTCACTTGGCAAACAGGACCCATGAACCAAGCACCTCAAAAACAACCCACCAAAACAAGGCTTACTTTTTGGTCACCTCAGTTCCCTGTTTCAACTTACCACACAACCGCCTCTCCTTTCCAGTTGTGAAGAGGCAGGAGAGGAAAATGGGAGAATGTTCCTGTATTTGCAGAGGCAGCTTACAGTCTTCATATGAATACAGCCTCAAAATCCTACCCAGCCAAACTCTTCTATGTTCTCCTCGAAAACAGACTGCCCAAGGACTATCTCATCCATTCCTGGAAGTGACAAAGAGAATCCAAACCCATTTTTCTGAAAGGTGGATCAGAATTTTTATGCATCAATAAACATATTACTACACTATTGGAGTATATTTGTTGCCACTCTTGCCTCCAAATCACACCACTTTTGTGACTTATCCTTGATCATACACAGCCTCTTTTCTCTTCCAGAGATCTCCTCATGTTAATTCCCAAGCCTATACTGTTATTATTCATTCCTATTGCATGACTTCTTAATGAACCCCATTTGTATCATTCCAGCATTCCTTATCATCCAGCTCTTGCATGACATTCCAGTCTTCCTTTGTAACACTCATTCCTCAAGTTTGCTCATCAGTTAGATTTTACTGTGTAAACGATGCCAGCACCACTTATGTGGGCCCAAATTCAGTCTCGAGAAACACCCCTTGCAAGCACCTTTCAGACCAGCAGTTCCTCTTCTGACAAATCTGTTGCTGCTTCCCCTCCTTTATACTGTTCCGTAACCAAGTACCAGCTCTTGTACTAATTCTCCAGTATCAACACCTTAAAAAAACCTGAAAACTTTCTTTTTTTTGTAGTGCTGTGTGATCAGTTATCAAGTTCCAGGCAGATTCGAGCTACTCTGTTTCTTTTACAGAGAAAGTAAATCAATCATTTACTTTTACAAAGGATGCAGGTCAGTCAGGCATGATCTATCTTTAGTGAATGCCCACAGGACTCAGTCTACTTAGTTTCGTGTTGTTAATTAATTCTTTCCTTCAAAAATTCTCTAGAGCCTTGCATACTACTGATGTCAAACTCATTAGGCTATAGCTGCGCAGCTGCCTGCCTCCAGTTCTTTTAGGAAACTATTTTTATAGTTCAGTAACAAATCTGCTAAGTCAGAGGTAGAATATATTTAAAATTAGATTTCTGGTTAGATTTCCCTTAGGAAGCCTGGCTGTTTGTGGTTCTACCAACTGTCATTATACTCCTGTAGTTCTCCCTGTGACACAGCTACACCGTCCCCTCCCCACCTTCTCCGGTTCATTTCTTGAGATACTTAAAGATGACTTTGGTTCAGAGGTATTCTGACGAAATTTTTGACAACATCTGAAAACGTACTTCTACAAACATTTTACTGGCAGCAAGATAAAATTCACTGCTACTAATTTACAGTTTGGGGTTTTTTGTTTGGTTTTTTTTGTTGTTGTTAGTTTGTTTTTTTTTGCTTTCTATCAACACTGCATAATGCTACAAGAAAAGAAATACAGGCCCCAAAAGAACAGAAGCAACAAAAGCCACCTCTGCTTGTCTCCAACCTGTGTCTTTTCCAAGAGGCCAACAACAAGGTGAGGGCAAAAACGCACTCTTCCTCCTCCAGACCCCCAACTAACGCTCATCTCCTAACAGTCTTTGACAAGAAAGTGACTGATAAATATCGCAAACCTTGCAACCTAGATGACTGAACTACTTTGTGGGAACTGATCCTGCGAACATCCACATGCGAAGAGCCCCTAGACACCCTGAGGAGAAAGGATGCGTTGCAAAACCGTGCAGGTCTTTCAGAAGAAGAGATGGAAGAATGCATACGATGAGTTATTGCACTTCTGCTTCCGCCTCTGCTGGTACGAGGAATTGTTTTACATGTTACTGTGCTGTGTTTGTTTTGTTTCCTGAAGCATTAGCAAATATTTATTTAACTCTCTGCTACCTTGTATGTAACGCGTTTGTGTCAGACTCATTCTTGTACAACAACAACCATCACATTCATTATTGTTTTGGCAATTTTTGTAAAGACTAAGAACGCTCCATGGAAAAAGACTCAGTGCAAATCCAACATTGTACCTGTCTGCTCCTGTCACACAGCAAAGCAACTCTCTGTGCAGCCCAGCCGGGCAACAGCATCCCGTGTTTCAAGGGTTAAAAAAAAAAAAAAAAATCAGAGCATGAAATACTTATGAAATACACAACATAAAATTCTTCTACCTTACAGGCCACACAAAGCAGTCAAGCATTTATGAAAGAAGGGAAGAGAGGCGCAAAAGAAACTCAAATCCAGGGCGGACGTACACCCTGGGCCCACCAGGCTGTCTGTGTACGAGCTGTACCTGTGAGAGTTCACCGCGGTGCTGCCCGCGCTGGGCCGGCAGGAAGGGAAGGTAGATAAAAAAAAAAAAATAATTTGCTTTTCTCTTAACTGTCTCTCCGAATGCCTTAAGCACGCACGACTCACAGTAGATCCGGGTGCCACGATTTAAGCCGTCTCCCAGCATTTACAGGAAAACGGGGGGCCGGCCGGCGGGGGGGGGCTCGCCCCCCCGCGCCCCG